CGGCGGCATCGCCGTCCTCCAAAGCCCCACGCCCGCCCGATGACGGGCCCCGTGCCCGGAGGCCCCCGAGGTTGGCCTGGAGTTCCCTGCGGCCTCGCACCACGCAGGGGCTGCCCCTGCCGATCAGCGGTCCGTGCCAGGACAGGCGTGAAAGCCCTCAAGCGCTGTGCACAGCTTCCTGCCATGCAGCCGGGGGACACGACGAGGCGGGCATCCTGCACAAAGCCACGGCCACTGCCGGGCAGCCCTCCACCCACACACCCTCTCCGCGTACCATAAGCGTCCAGGGCTTTTTGCTCGCTCAGCTTTGCACCGGGCCACTGGGACGAGCCCTTCCTGCTCAGAGCAGATGGGCTGGTACTGACTCTGCAGGGCAGTGCTGCGATAGCAGAGAGCCCGTTTCTGCGGCAGAGGTGGGATGCTCCCAGGCACACCGCAGAGCAGGCAGGAAGGACTGATGACAGCAAAGGGGTTCACTACTGCTTGACTCCAGAAAGCAAGCATCCTTAAGTCACCTCATCTGTTTGTCAACACACTGTCATTGAAGTGATACCCCTGGAGCAGGACTCTCATATTACTGAGAGCCACTCACCCTGAGCTACAATTACAGCAAAATGTGGCCTTCCTGAGAGCACATAACTCTGCTAAGGAAGGTGTCCCTATGGTAAGCAGTCTGCACATATTCCTAGGCCTGTCTTCACACTGTCCCCATTTAAGGATGCAGGAACCAATGCACTTCTTATTTACTAGATGAATATTGATTTTCTTTCTCTTTAGTGCCTCTTCTGTGCCAGGCTGTGGCTGGAACAGGACCTGTATGACTACACATGCACCAAACTAGCATTCTGAACTTGGATTTGTTACTTTAAGACTTTGGGCCTCTTTTGTATGGATAGATTTTTTTTAATTATTATTATTATTATTTTTAGCTCAAAATCAGTTCCATGATTCTATCTAAACTAATCACAAAACTGAACTTGTTGAATTAACTGAAATGAAGGAGATACTAACTCTTCACTTGAGAAGAGGCACCTGGGATCAAAACCTGGTTTAAACACTGAAATAAACTGCTTTCAGTTGCTTAGCCAGTCATATTTCCCAGATAACTATGGCAATTTTTCTTACAAACTGTATCAGCTAGCACATACTGCTTGACTGTTTTTAATATCTTATTTTGTATATTTTAATAGATCAGAATAACTTTAGACCTAACATAGTTTGTGATTATTTAATTGTAATTTGAGATTGTTTTTAAAGGAAAATGCAATTAATATAAATGTAAAACATCAAAAAAAAAAAAAAACCCAACACAAAAAAACCCACAACCACAACAACAAAACAAACTAACAACAACAAAAACAACAACAAACAACCCAGGCTCCAAACTTCTTTTTTCTAGGCCATGGACTCTGGGGACTGCTTTGGCTCAGCAAGGCAGCAGATCCCATGGGGACAAAGAGTCAAAGTTGTTGGCACATTAAATTATGGATGTAGGAACCAACACCTATGATTGTTCAGCTAAGGAGCACTTCAAACACATACGTCATTGTTAGCTGCATGTCCTGGGCTTGTGTGTAACCTTGGGTGGAGCATTTACTACTCCAAGCATGAACGATGTTGGAGTTCACTTGAGCCCTGGCTTACCAGAGGTCCTAGCTCCCAAGAGCTGCCCATGGCAGAACATTTGGAGGTGCTGTAAAGAGATTAATCAAGGAAATACCTCCCTTCTGTCCCCACTTCCAGATATTAGACAACATTTCAAAGGGTTGATAGCCTTTCCCTCTGATGCAGACAGAGGGAAAATGATGCATATGAGAACTGGCTAGGATCTCTCCTCGGGGAGAAGGGTGCCCAGTGACATAAGAGAAGAACCAATCAGGTAAGAGGTCAGTGCCTCAGAAAGATAAGAGAAAACTAAAATCAGTGGAAAGTAAAAAGAAAAGAAGGAGAAAAAATGAAAGAGTGGGAGACAGGCTGAGTTTTGAGTCAAGGGGAAAGTCAAAATAAAGTCACAGAGTAGGAAGGACAGAGAAGAATCAGAGACAAAGCAACAAAAATTACAGACACAACTGAGAAGAAATAAGATACAGATATGCAAGGAGCACAGCCTAGCCTTGACTAGCTTCTCATCATCAGGAGTTTCTGAAGATTGAAGAACACTTAAAGACCAAGTCTAGAGGGTCTCAGCGGTCTCCTTCCTTTCACATCCTGGACCATGAGCTAATTAAGTACTTTCTGCCAAAATAACCTCACTGTGTAGTTCACTGCTGCCTCCTTCACCATCATACCATGCCCAGGTTACCACCACCTTCATGACAGCAGAATATACATCAGAATGATCACTTTGTAGCTGACCCACAGATGAGCTAGGCTACAACCTTAGACCACAGGTGTGGCTGGCTTGTGGATTGCAGGGCTGGATAGAAAATAATGGTCCTGGCAAGAGACCATTGTGGCCACCAAGTGGTGGCTGGTCAGAAAGCATTCGTCCCTCTAAACCATTCTTCTGCTTTAAGCCTTGGTGCTTGGAATGGTATAGCTATTCTCAGCCTCACTACACAAGAATAATAAAATAATCTGTGTTAGACAAATTCTACATTTGGTTCCCAAAACTCCCCAACGCTATGGAGCCTCATATGTTTTGCCTCTTTTCTTTTGCTACTCCATGCTCTTGCCAAACACTTAAATGGCATTTGCAGTTTCTGGGAATTCTTTGAGAGGAAACAGCAAACAACTGAGAAACCTTCCTTGTCTGGCATGTAGATGGGAGACACTAAGTAGCCATTGCAGCCAGAGGTGAAAGAGATGTCTACATACACGAGAACAGGTTTGTTCACACTCCTTACCCAGCAAATTACTTTCAGTAACATCTACTTTTGAATTCTTTGACACATAGTGGTAGCAGAAGACCTGAAAGTGGCAGTCACCAAGAAGACCCAAAAGATGCTCCCCCACAGCTCATCAAAGACTTGCTGAGTTTGGGATCTACCTCAAATATCAATGGCAACCTCCACCATCACTCCAGTGAGGTTCCTTCACTAAGATCAAAGCACAGCCAGTCTTGCTGGAGGAGGCCAGACTGCTGAAACACCTCTGACCCTCTGCTACCCATTGCTCCCTCTCCTGCATCCTGCAAACCCCACAGTCACACTAGCCAAGGGAGAAAACCCTGGGAGGCAAGGACAGCAGTGGGAGGATTAGAGTCCTCTTGAGAATTTCAGCAGATAAATAAATACAGAGCTGGGCCCTAGACTCTAAAAACAGAGACACACAGTTCTATTCTTTTTGCCTTAGACCCATAGGAAGGAGTTCACAAGCTGGCAAACATCACCTAGGAATCATGGCTCTGAGTTGTCCTCAAAATAAGACAAAAAGATACTGGGTCATGCTTCACCTGTTCTCAGACACCTCTGCCAGTCTACACCACATCAGAGAAATGCACCCTCACTTGGAGAAGGTCCCAGCCCTCTCCTGTCACCCTTTCCAGAAGAGAAATGCACAAAGACTAGGCTGCTGACTGGAGAAACTGAAGCCAGGGACAACTTCCAGGTGCTGGGAAGGTTTCACGCATTTGTTAGAGACCAGTTTGTGGTCTCCCAGCCAGGTATGGTGTTGCCCCACAGCCAAAAGGGCAGCCTTTCCCCACACATACACGCGTGATACTCACAGCCTGCGCATAGGCGCTGTATGGGCTGAACGGCAAGGTGAGAGATGGAGTGAATATCCCCAGCTGCCCCACCATTTGCTGCATACGACGGAGGGTCCTCTCCTTATCTGTGTCAGCAAACTTCACCACTAGACTGGAGGAGGCACCCTAGGCACAGAGAGAGGAGACAGAGAGAGGAGGCAAGGGGAGAAGAGGCTGTGGGACAGCCAGAGAGTCAAGCAGTCAGGCAAGGTGGGATGGGGCAGAACAGGCTGCAGAGAGGAGTGGAAAGAGGAGCAGAAGAGCAAATATTCGTGTGAAAGTGCCCTGGAGCTGCCTAGAACCTGTGCTGTGCCCTTCACCATCCATCCAACCCTTCCCTCTCCCTCCTTTCCCCTCACACCCTTGGCCTTGCATAGCTGCACAAGTTGGTGCACACATCCCTGGCGGCATTCATCAGGTGATGAGGCAGTCAGGAACACCCAGGACATTGTCAACCACCAGCACCATCTTTCCACCACCATGAGCTTGGCTGGATAGGCAGAACAGTTCCTGGCAGCTGGAAATACCCCTGCTGCAGCAACACACTGTCCTGCCCACATGGTGCCCCAATCCAGGTTAGAGCTTGTGAGAGATCAGATCACAACTGCAGCTCCACTTGCACAGGAAGGCACAGCTGCAGCTACACAACTTCACACAATGCACAAAGTATTCCTCTCCACACCCATCCTGTCCCAGAGGTCTACTCTACTGCCTAAATAAGAGAAGGCGGGGAGTGTGCTTCCACTGGAGTCCTGACTGCTCATGTTGCTGAATTGTCAGCTTGCACCCTCTTGAGTTTGAACTACTCCAGGTAGCTGTCTCCAAGACAAATTCATGGCCTGGCTCTTTGCTCTTTTATTTAGTATTTATAGCTGTAAGTGCTGTCACTGTCAGTCTGAACAGACATAGATACACACACCAGCACAGGAGACAAGATAGTTTCCAAAGGCAAGAGCACAGATGTGCACACACACTCTCCCCACCCCCTCACAAGTACACGTGCTGAAAACTGCAGCTGAAACTGTCATTCTTTTGGAGAGCGAAGAGAGGTCCCTGAAACAGGGGAAAGAGGATTAGGAAGAGGGTAGGTACCCTGGTCTTATACTCACGGGCATTGTCTGGCTGCCATGGAGTGCGTGGATTGCTGCCTGAGCCTCTGTGTGAGATGAGAACTTTACAAAAGCACAGCCTGGAAAGGGACAGAAAAAGCACAGAAGATTGCAGTGACAGGACTTCTGTAAAAGTGCCCATTGTATCACCACCCGAGAGACAGTATCTGGAACTCAGGCAGGGCAAAGGAAAACTACCCCAAAACAGGGAACAAAAAGGATGAATCATCCCAAGTCCTCTACTTCCATGATATACTCTAAAGATTATATCACCGTCTCTGCCCTTGCCCCTGCTTACCTCTTCCCCGAATTCGCTATGCACTCCTGTGGCTACAACACTTCATATTGCAGACCCAGACAGAGCCAACAGGCTCACAAGTGATCCCCATAACTCAGCTACCCACTGTGCTTCTCCTCCTTTCACCTTGGTCTGCCTGTCTTCCCCAATCTTTTCTTGCAGCAGACAACTCTTTCTGCCCTGCTCCCTATGCCTGACTGTGATACAGGTTCCCATAAAGATGGGCGTAGAGGAATTAGTTCCCCAGTGGAAAGGAGGCGCAGGTGCCGAGGCAAGTACATGCTGTCTGAAGAGCAAGAAGAAAGGGCACAACACAAAGAGGGGTTCACACCTTTGCTGTTACCATCAGGTCCACGGAGCACCGTACATTCATCAATGACCCCAAATGGTTCAAAGAGCCGGAGCACATCATCCTCAGATTGCTGCTTATTTAACATGCCCACAAAGAGCTTCCTGTCCCCTAGGGGCAAACACAGAAACATCAACCTCCTATGAGGCTCATAGTCCAAAAGCAGGAGGATAACGACACTTAAGCACAGAACAGCCTAGTGTTGAAAACATGACTGGCATGGAAATTATTTGCATTAGCTGAAATGCTTCCAGGGGTCAGTATGCAGGGTACTCCCAAACTCCTCACACCTGCAAAGGTTTCTGTGACTTCCCCTGTCCTTTGCTCTCCAAAGGAAAACAAAAGATTAATAATTTCTTTCTATTCATTAGCCCTTTCCTTCGAATGATCCAACACAAATGGTAATAAGAATAATTCCCTGGGCAATTATAGACTTACTGAAAAATACGTGACATCCAAGAAGTACCTTAGGAAATACAGCAGACCAACCCAGGCAGGGTGAATAAATTCCAGGATTCTTGGCTTCTTTTTCATTTTCCTTCTCTCCAAGATCACTGTTTCCACAGATACTAAGTAATCAAGCATCTTAACTTCTATTTGCCTTTTCCCTACTCCAGTCTAACCAGTATGTGTACTGAGCTGTTCTCTACAGCCTGGAATAAACCTTGGCATCCTGGGTCCCAATTTGCCTCGCCACAGGACCAGCCAAATGCAAGATAGTTGGGTGAGGGCCAAGAAACAGCTCCATGGTCCCCACTACCACCTCTCCAAGGTAATTTTGTACTCATGTCACACTGGTGAGCGGCTGGAAGGCTGGCCAACACATCCAGGACTTTGAGCTCAACATCCTTCTGGGTTCCTTCATCAGGAGAAGAAGTGAGGATTATGGTTTTGTTGGGATGGCCAAGTGTGGTGGTGGAAAGAAAGGTGCACGGTGCTTTCTCCTCCTCTTTATCCATTTACCTTCAGTACCAGGGGCCCATCACACAGCCCAACACCATCCAGTCACACACAAATGACAGCAGTGGCTGGAGCAACATCCTCCATAGACTACTGTTAACAGTTGTTAACATAGTACATTAAAAACCCAGCCTAAATGCCAGCCCAGCCTCGATTTTTGCAAGAAGATAGTTGTGCCAACTACAGAACTAACCCAGCCCAACTGCCCAAACATGCACTGGGGAAACATGATCCACAGGGTGAATGTGTCAGGATATGGCTTGAAAGGAGCAGTGAGGGAGGATTCCTTATTGTTAGTGACAGGATCAGAGGGGCTGGCTCCAAACAAAACCAATGTAATATGACGCACATCAGGGAACATTGCAAGGAAGCTGCTATTCATTTGAGAGTGCACTGACCTGAAAAACAACAGGTCTTGGAGTTACAGCAGCAAAGCAGGCTGCAGGGGTGGTGATGTGTATGTATGGCAGGAATGGAGGACACATTACACATTCACGCTGCCAGCAGAGTCCTCCCACACCAGCCCCTTCCTTGCTCCCCTTGGCTCTGAGGATAGTTCCTACCCAGGTAAGCAAGCTGCCTCCCCAACACTGCTCTGCCACATACAGACATGCTTGGGAACACATGCAGGATGTGTGTCATTGGTCCCTTACAGAAGAGCAGATGCACACTAATGCACAAACACATAGGCTCATGCAAGAACATCCTTGCACATTGACCCAGCACTATCATGCGCCTTCAGAAACAAAATTCCTCAGGGAGCAAGAGGTATGTGCAGACACATGTACTATTGCACCATGCAGACACCACAGGGAGCCACCCCACACCATCCAAGGTCAAGCTCATGCAGGCACGGCTCTCTAATAGGCACTAGGTGTAGATGCAACACAGATGCCACAGATAAAGGATTAAAAGTGCTGCATCTAAGGCTCTTACCCAGTCCCAAACCAACACTCCTGATTTGTATCACTGGAAGTGGCTGAAATATATGGCCTTGTGTCTTTCTTGAAGGCCAAATTTTGCAGCTGCCCGATTCTCATGAGTCCCTGGATAACTAAACCTGTGGGACTTTCATCCCCTTCCATTTTTCTTGTGAGTCTTTCTATATTTGTCCCTGTACCTGCATGACAATGGTTGCATTTTGGAGACACTATTTCACCTGATTGAGTCCATCCAAAATGTAGTGCTCTTGCAATGCCCAAAAATCCCCAGCCAAGGCATGGGAGCTAATAACCTAGGTGCTGTACAGCTGCCTTCTTAGCAGTAAGACAGCATCTGCCCCTAACCAAGTGCCAGCTCAGAAATGCTGGTGGGAAAACCAGCCAAAAAATAGCACATAGAGAAGGTGAAAAATCTGACTGGAAGACAAAAAATAATAGGAATGGTCAGGAACATATTTACTGGGAGGTGGAGAGGAGAATGGAAACTAAAGGAGCAGTAGCTCTGTGCTCCCATTAACATCGCCTGGTGCCATATGTGATTCCAGTCTGGCTCTGGGAGGGGACATTTGAGCTCTGCAGTGCTCCCCCTTCCTCCATCCTAAGTCTATATTGCAGCTGCAGCCTTATTTCAGATATGTGCACCATGCTGCAGCCTTTGGATTGCAAACACAGCAAGAGTTCCTCAAAAAACACATCAATAAAGGGAAGAAACACACTGAGACACATTTATACTGAGTTTAGATGCTGTAAAATAATCCTCTGTTCTTTGAACTAACAATCAATCAATTGTGGATTAAGACTTAACAGCCAGAAATGAACTTGATGGTCTTGCCTTGCTGTTTAGGCATCCCAGAAGGCTGTCTGACTGCTTGGGTCAGGATGGCAGGGGGTGTCAGGACAACTGGGAAAGTCAGCAATATTAGAAATTTGAAAAGCTGAAACTCTAATTTGGGGGAACATAACAGCTACACAGATGTAACATTACTTTTGTAACAGTGGTGTTTTGTTTCTGGATCTGATTTTTTATAAAGTGAGGTTTTTGCCAAAGAATAGTGGGTAACCAGTGGAGAGTAGGGTAAGTGGTTCCATCTCTGGCTGATGACTGAATTCAGTACAATGACCTGAAGGTTACCACAACCACCCAAAGCTTAAGCCTTCTCCAAGCAACAGACTAATGGATTCAGCAGGCCACAGCTTCACAATAGAGGCACTGAACAAAAAGAAACTTTGTCAATCTCCAATCAAATCAACAGTTAACTATAAGCTACTATTTGTTTCCTCCTTCAGAGAGCCTTGACATTTCCTGGATAATTCTTGAGGTTTCATCTTCATAAAATTTCTGCTGGATCAAAAGCATTTTTATTTACTCTCACTTTGGGAAAGGTTCATTGAAACAATGGATACCAGTCTTCATTCTTGTGGTTTTACTGCAGATCTTCTGTTGTCTGACAGAGCTCACTAATAGAACATTTTGGAATTCCTGTATTTATGTGGAAATTTAAGCTTTTTTGAATTTGGAAGAAAAAAATGCTAGCTTTCTTGGCTACACACAACAGGTTAAAACTGTGACACCTTGAGGACTCAGGCTGCAAAAGCAAAGATATACACCTATTCATTTTTAATCTTTTCTGAATGCCCAGAACAGCAATATTAGAAGGGGGTGAAGTCACTGACAACATAAGAGAAATATTTTTTCACTGTTATTTTCATTTCATACAGCCCAGTTCCCAAGATTGGGATTCCCTCCATAAAGGAAAAGGACCCAGGTTTGTTCCCTAGGCTGCCTCTTTACAGCATCGGGGGACCTGTAAAAGGGCTTCTCTGCTGCTGACCTCTCTTCTTCTCCATGTGTTGGAGACCAAACCAAGATCTAGTGCCCTCTCACTTCAGGCAGCTTCCAAATAGGGGTGTTCCCCTACCAGTCACCAAGCTGCCTCCACAACAGAGCCGAAACCCTGCAAGCCCTTTCACCTGATGTCTGCTGTCACCATGTTGATCCCAAATCAGTTCAGAACCTCAAGCCACTGCTGTGGGTTACTGGCTCTTTCGGCTCTCCAGCAGGGACTCCTGCAGTACTGGAAAATCTTCTCTCTCCAGCTTGTGACAGCACGCCCTCCTCCTGCCATTTTTCCTTTACTTTCTTTCCAGTTCTTGTTTTTCACTTTCTGACTGGCAATTTCCTATGCTGTCCAGCAACCAGGAAAATTGTGTCTGATCTCTGACTGTTGAGTTCCCATGGAAACAGGGTCTGGGCACAGCTAGTCACCCAGGCAGCAGGAGGAGGACCAGTGCAGAGCAGGTTGCTGATAAAGATAAGATGGGAACAAGCGAGGGGTTAAGGCTGGCTGAATGCTTTGTCCATGAGAGAGGAGAGCACACAAGCACTGAACACTACTCCTCTTTAAACCCAGCAGATTTAAGTCATCTGGCCAGCAGCTGTCAGCAGCAAAGATCAGGGAGAGGGAGAAAGCCTAGTTGGTTGTGGGTGGGACACAGCAAATTTCCTTGGGTACGCAAAGAGTTTCCTTGTCTCTAAGGCAGTGCTAATGGGCTTGGGCTAGCTGTCCTATCACATCAGTGCAGCAAAGCACTCCAGGTCTCGAAAGAAGCACAGACAAGCATCTCTACCCCCTCACTTCATTTCTTCCTGCCACTTTCAGGCTCATATCAGAGGCGTGAGGGAAAGGAGGAAAGAGCTGACAAAGCCTGTGCCAGAATCACAGGTTCCCCTCTGAACTAATGCAGGCAGCATCTTTTTACTTCTGCAGGGTGCAGTAACACTGAGCATCCAGATACCCCGAGATATCCACTGCAGGGCTTGGCTAAAACTGCCCCTTTGGCACAAAAATTAGCGTATCTTAGACTAGGAGACAAAATCTGGTGCTCTAACTTCATAACTTTTAACTTAATTCAGGATGCTTAATTTGAGAGATGTCAGTCCCTGGAAAGGATAAAAGAGGTTCCCTTCAAGGGTAATGCACAGCAGAGCCTTACTGATGCATACGGCTGTACCCTTGATAGATTCCTAGTCCAAGCAGTTTTGCCCTGACCCAAATCGTTCTTTTACCTCCTGCCAGTGCGGGATTATTGCTATAGGATCTTCCTATATCTGCAGACTTGCTCATCTGCTTCTCTGACAAGTGGAGCATCACAATAGAAACCTTTGGAAAGAGAAACCGGATTCAGATAAATACAGGGTGTTGTCCTGAAGCTGCTTCTGCCTCAGGAAAAATTCCAGTTTGTCATGGATCCTGCAGGAGCTACTTGTTTCTGAGCTCTGCAATGAAGCTGGAAGGAAGCTAGACACATGGGCTGGAGGGAGGCAAGTATTCAGACTCCAAAGGCTGCTTTTCTCTATGACATTCTCCATGGGAAACTGCACTGATACCCTGACATTTGCAGTCATTAAAGACTGCGACACCTTTCATAAGCTTAGAGATTTCAGGGTCCAGTGCCTTGCCCAAAAGCTTGCTTCCAAATCAACATCCTGTTATTGAACTTGTTGGCCTATATGGCTCAATTTGACAGAGAAGCCGAGGCATCAGAGATGTTAAATCTCAACACATTTTCTGAATCTAGGTGGCAGTGTACAGAAGAGCATCCTTATTATTGCCCACCAGCAAGAATGATCATACAACCATAAAACACACATTCCTATAAAATATTATAAAATATACGTCATGTTCTTGCCACTGCAATAATTAAAAGTCACTACAAACTGCTTAAAATTTCAAAAAGGCCCTTCAAAATCTAAACACAACATGCAGGATATGCTGCCCTACGGGACAAACAGTCTCACACAAATTCTTCCCACTACTAAACTGCTTTCAGAGGCACCACCAACAGCACAATGCATGGAGGCAGATGTAGGAATACAAAGAAGAGGAAAAGAAAATGGATTGGTAAACCAAGGAAAAGCAGCAAAACGAATTCATAGATTCAGAGAAGAGGACAAAATTGCAAACTGTCACCACGGGGATGAGGTATCTCAGCTGCTGTAAGCTCCCCATTAATTTAACATCAATTTTTCTGTTCCAACTGTTCCAACTCTAAACTACTCAGTATACACTGCTCTAACCATACTGGTTCCCTGCAGCCTGTCAGCACCTCCTTCTCAGGCCTAAACTCAGGATCCTTTCCCTTCAGACACCATTTTCTCAACATGTGCTATTCTCTGCAACAGCACTTGGGCCTTGACAGTGTGATGGGGGCTGCTGCAGGACTAAGAGTATAGAACCTGAGACAGTCCAACAGCGATGGGGTAGGCAGAGGAGTGAGCTGCAACCAGGAGAATCAGCTGCAGAACGGTGAGCTGAACAGGTTAAAAAGCCAGTGCTGCTGCAGGAATCTGACATTTATTGGTGTGATCAGGTATAAGAATGACAAAACCTCTTTAAAGCTTCTTATGCCCTCCAGGATCCCAGGTGTCATACCTGCTTCAGCTGCTGGGGCAGACACTGTCAGGCTAACAGTACACTCAAAGAGCTGGGAAAGAGCGGAGTGGAGTCACATTATTACCCTTAGGATTTGAGGTGCTCTCAGCTGCCTGCTGCGTCAGCCTGAAGGTTTCCCATCAAAGCCTGTCCTTAGACTCTCTTCTCGCCCCCAAAAACCCCTGCCACACACAAACTTCCCTTCATACAAACTGCAAGGAGAGGAAGGCCAGGTCAGGATCCTGCATCTTTGCTTGGTCACCCTCATAAGCACAATGCCACCAAAGAAGAAACAAGGAGAGATGACAACTACCTCCACGGCTCTCGCTGTCCGCGGGTTTCACTTGAATCGGGCGCGCCATCTGCAATGAAAGAGAAATGCAGAGGATTAGAGCTTGGTCCATCTGCCTGGCATATGGTGCTGATGGCAGTGGCACCAGGGTGCCCCTTTCTGCCTGCTGTGCAGAGTAGGAGAGTGGCAGAAAGGAACCAAGACATTGTGATGGCAACCAGAACCCTTAAAGAAGGGACCACATGGTTTTCCTTCTCAAAAGGAAATGTGTTGGTTTTCCCTGCTCAACTGCTTGCCTGCAGGGAATAACTCTCCTGGAAATGCCCACTATGCATAAACTTCCACCTCTTCAGACACCACAGGTGGAAAAGGACTCCAAGGAAGCAGCTTATCACTCTGAGATTGGAGCCTGAACAGTGATTAGGGTGGTTTAAGGTGAGACTTTGCCTAGAAACTCCTCCTATGCCTGCCCTAATTCAGAGCAGGCATGGACATTTCACCTAAACGAGCTGCTTACTTTCCTTGCAGAAGGGAAGAAAGACTACCTCTGAACTTGGCTAGGAGCAGTACTACAGCAAGCAGGCATCTTATGTTTCTCCTTCCCCAGTCCTCATGCAGTCAGAGCTCAGTGCTCTAAAGAAGGCTCTAAAGAAGGGCAGTGTTGTGACAAAACACTTCTTTCTCACTTGGTTGCAGAGAAGAGCTGTTTACCTCTTTTGCATTAGTGTCACCAGCAATAATCCAATCACAAGCAACAAGTCTGAGAGGTAGCTTAGCTCATGTGATACAGGGACTCTCCAGGTAAGACACCAGAACACTTCTACCTAAGAGTAGCTGCATAAAGTAACCCACAGCTTTAAGTGCCTGATTTGCAAAGCAGGGCAAAAGTCTCATTTGCTGGAAGGTATGCGTGTCCTGTGCTGCCTAGAAAAGAAACTGAAAAGCTGCAGTCCCTTTCCCAGGCTAGCAGGATACAACCAAATTAGAATCTCCTCCAAGGAATAGCAAAAAAGGCAGATTTTCATAGTCATAGCACATTGCACTCCATGTCTCTCAGCATCATTCACAAAGGCTGACAATTACTTGAATCAGTGATATCCATAATAAAAAACAATCAGAAGATCACAGGTAAGACCAGCACACAAATTGCAGGTCTAGACATAATCTGCCTGCTCACTTAGGAAAAACAGCAGCAACAAAACAGAAAATTAAATCAAGTCATAAAAGCCACCAACTGAAATGTGTTCAGAAGCCTGAGTGCAAAATGTGGACTGCTGTCAGTCTCCAAGAGGTGGCTGAGCCAGACTTGCCAGAAACCAGAGGTAGGGCCCACACACACAAGAGCTGCAGAAAACCCATGAGGTTCACAGGACAAATATGTCAACCAGAAAGTGACAAGCTCCCATGGCATGGCACATCACTGCTGAAGCCCAGCCACTGAGCATGGAAGAGCACTTGTGGCAGCCTGTGAACTGACTGGTGGATCTCAGGCAGGATGACGAGAAGCTGGGAACAGCCCAAATTGACACCATCCCTGCCTTAAGAAGAAATATGAGGCTGCTTGGAGAGCCAAAGAGTGGCGGACAGCTCCCCAAAGGAAGGCCAAGCTGCTGTCATGCTGCACCTCAGTAGACAGCACTGCCAACTCCAATTTCATCTCCCAGTACTTGCTGTGTCAGTTAGGGGAGAGGGAAAGGCTGGGGGTCTCTTTCCCACTCTCAATCAGCTGCATGTATTTGCAGAGCTCCTGACATCCTGTTGTGTCCTGCCACGTGGCCCCAGCATGTGCAGCACTGGCACCAGCCTCTGGGCTGCTGCTTCTCTCAGGAGCTGCCAAGGACTAGGTATTACCTTCAGCCCATGAGCCAAGTGGGATGTGGGGCAGGGGTTCAGAAAGATGCAGATAGACATTGCTCCAGAAACCGTCAGATTTCCTCACTAAGAGGCAGTGGCTCCTATTGCTGCTCACAGCCTCTGGCAATATGCTTGTGCAAGCTGAGGCCTGGAGGTGTTTCAGCAGCAGGTTGGGTAGGAAAGGACAGGTGGCCCAGATGTGTGCTCGGAAGAGAGGGCTGGATGCTGAGCCAAGAGGGGCAGCTGGCTACCTCATTCCCCACTGCTCCCACAGCACTGAGAAATATCTGTGTTTCTACCCAGGATGCAAAAGCAGGATTATGCTAAACAGATGGGGAGGGAGATGGAGGGACAGACTTCTATGAGCAGCAAATCCATCTGGGGGAAGGGAGGGAGGAAGGGATGCCATGGAAGGCAAGAGCACTGCACCCCTATGTGAGCACAGACCTATCCAGGGATGCTGGGGCTGAGGGCTTGGGGCACTGAGCTAGCAAGGATGGTGGGAGGTAAGGGAGAGGGTTAAGTACCTGAGGACATGTCCCTGTCCCTTCCCCCAACAGGGCTGTCACTCCAGCTCCCAGCACCTAGGGTAAAGGAGGTGTTGTCATAGAAACGGTTATTCACTACATGGAACCTGACATTTGTGGTTACCATGGAAACCAGCTCTTGGGGGCATTCCCTCTGCTTTGCACAAAAGAGACATTTTGATATCATCTCTGGGGAGGGGGGCCCCTCTACCCATCTGTCTACCCATTTCCTTCCCCCCATGCCAGGGACTGCTACACAGCCAGGATGAGCCCTTCTGAACCTGCTGGCCATGGGGGAGCCTACCCCACAGGGTCACACACCCACAGCAGGGCCAGGGCACAATGCCTGCAAGGCAGCACTGGCAGCTGTGAGGCTCGTGCCAAGGCCAGCAGTGGGGCAAGTCTGCAGCATCTGGCTGAAGAAACAGCGAGGCTGCCTAGGAAGAGACCAAGCACATGGGCTGCCCTGCACCCCACAGCTGTAGCCACAGTTTCTCTCTTGCCTACTTTACACAGCACCTTGGCAGGAAAACGGGAAGATTCGCCCTCTCTGCCAGAGTCAGACCAAGCCCTCAGTGAAGGGCTACCCATTTCCAGAGACCCTGCCAGCTCCAGTGCCTTTGAGAGCCACCCATCAAACTGGAGTCTGGTCTGATGGGCTGGTCTTCATTTGCTATGGAAGATATGGGTGAAAAGGAAAAAGAAAAATTTACAAGAAATTGCTTCAGATATACAGGCTTGAAGAACAGCAGAATTCTCTTCCTGCTGCTTCCTAAAATAGTAGGTCTTTCAAAGGAGGCAGAGGCAGGCCTGGTCCTCCTTGCAGAGAACTGTGCAATCAGACGTTTCCACAAACAGGACAACAACATTTTAATCCTTCCAAGTCCCATGTTGCCATTAAAGATAAAGAAAATATCAAAGGTCTTTCAAGCAGAGATGCAAGCCTACAAATGCAAAACCAGTCCACAGTTGCTTGAATTCAACAACACAGGCTGCAAGGCCTTGAGAAGTGTCCCTGTGGGGTCCTAAACTTTGTATACAGGTCTCAGACAAAGTGATCTGTCCCCTACAGAAGCTCAGTGCACAGAAAGGATGGTCAAGTTTATCTCTTCCATCTGAGGGAGGAAAAAGATTAACAGGAGAGCAGGGAGGACATTCTGGCTTGCACAGCAAACTCTGGAACTACAAATTCTTCTGGCCTCCAGTCATCATCTCAAGCTGCACAATATTCAGAGAACACACATGACTTTAGGAAAGCCACATTTGTACATGCTCAGCTTGGCCGAGAATCCAGAGTCAGGATGTACGTATGTTAAATCCAAGTAGATGCACATGCACAGACGTGCATGCCTTTACCACACAAGAACACAAACAGATATCACCACACATGTGGCATGAAGAACTTGGGCAGATTATAAGTCTGTGCCTACCTCACCAGCTGAATTTTATATTCCTCACTAAATTATTCAGCTGAGCAGCATTATCCTTCATTTCTGAAGAATATCACATTTAGCACATGCTGTCATGCCACCACAGGCTAATCATGCCCCACACTTCATAGCCCTTCCTACCCGCTGCTAAGGACAGACTAAGAGCTGTCAGCTCAATGACCCACTGGACTCAAGAAACCTTCTGGAGCCACTTGCAGCAATGGACACCAGATGGACAGCACACGGGAGGGGGCAAAGCTCCCACCAGCCCCCTTCATTTTCTGCCTCACATTTCCCCTCTTGGCTGGATGCAAACCTTCCCATTACAAACACAGCCATGCTCACCCTCCACAGCCATCACAGACAAATGTTTCTCTGTCTGCATCGCTGTCTTTCACACAAGCACACAGCCTTTGTTAGCTTGCTTTCTTTGGGGTTGCTGGTAGGAAGAAACTGGCCAGCCTGGGGGCACGAAGCTATACTGACCACCAGAGCATTACATGCTACAAAGCACAACAGCCAAGTTTCCTGCATAGCCCTCAGGGAGCAGTGAGTCGATATGTGGTGCTAAGAGAATCACTGCAGCCCAGAGAAGCTTAAAGGATTCCAGAGAAGGGGCCCAGGCGAGTGTCTATATTACAACCCACACCATCACCAGCACCTGCTCAGCCTAGAGAAATGGGCCTGTGCTCTGTCTGGGCTTTCTCCCTGCTTTCTAGGAAATGTGCTCCCATCCTTGTAGCACTCATGGGATCGAAGATCTAAGGAAAATTCCTGGCCCCGCTAAAGTCAGAGGAAGTTTTGCTATTGGTTTCACCAAGGCCAAAATGCACTATTTCTCTTGCCACATCCCAAAAAAAACCCTTCTGGAGGTGAACTAAATCCCCTCCTTTATGCCAACGCCCAGCATAATCTGTCATTTCTGCACTCTGGTAGCCATGTTCTCCCAGGAGGAGAAGTGACCCCTAACTCTTGCTTCCTCAGCTTTCAAACTGTAAAAGCTGGATAGACAGAGAAAGGCCTCTGGGATGGCAGGGCAAGCCTCTCTATTAATTAGGAGTAAATGATGTAAAATAGCCCCTCAGGTGCAATGCAGGGGAACCTCATAGTGTTAAGTGGGTCAGAGGCAGAGAGCATGAAACACACAATACAGGCTGGCTCCTCTGGGATGTCAGGAACCAAAAGGCATCCAAGGCCTTTGGCAGAATGAGGTCCTGGGCTCTAAGGCTTTGCAAATTGTGGGCTGGTCCTCTTCTGGC